ATGGGTTGACTAGGAATATCATATTGGTAGGCTACGAAGCTTTCAAGTTTCAAATTGGATCAAGGAGAGCCTACAATCATTTCTTAAGTCGAGCTATACTTAGAATTTTGCCTAGACAAACATTCAAGGCAAGTTCTAGACTTATTGGCACGGAACATGGACTTGCAATTCAATACCTCACCTCTCAAGCTGCTGGATTGTTAAAGAGACAGAGTCGAGGGCTCACAACAACCGTAGCTAAGATTGAACATCACAAATGGCTCAAAGAAACCACCCGATGATTGTTTTAGTCAACACAAGAGTCTAAAGGTCTCAACTAGAGCTATTCTTTGCCAATCACTTGTTTCTAACCACAAGATCGAAGGTAAATGTGTTAGTACCAAGTAAATTGAAGCCTGCTTGAGACACTTGTATTCATTACTACTATATATACCAAAACATAAAGAAAACAGACTCAATCGCTTAAGAATGTTGTCACGCCATCCATCGTTGGAAAGAGCCACCCGGTTCACACAACATCCACCTTTGGAAAGAACCGTGGCATTAAGAAAAGAAAAGGCTTATTGTTCACAAAAAGCATAAAAAAGAAGCTAACAACTTAAAAGGAAGCTACTAAAGGAAATAAGAAGCTATGCTACTTAGGGAAAATAATGAAAGAATTTATGAAGTAAACTACAGAAATTAAACTGAATATATACAAACTTGAGGTAAAACGAATATATACATAAATGGAAATGAATATATACATCAAATGGTAAAAATATATACATACCAAAAGTGAAAATAATGAATATATACATACCAAAAGTGAAAATAAAGAAAAATAGTGTAATGGTTATTACATACCAAATGTCATCAAATCAAAATAGACCACCCCCCAAATGAAAGATAGTTTTTTCCTCAATGCTAATAACAGATAAGAACAGGGTAAAGGGGTAGAGAGTAAAGATAACTCCCTATGTGGTCTCTGTCTGCATTGGGTCCTCAACATCAGCACCCTCCGTATCCTCTAACTGGATCTCCACATCCTCTGACTGGGGAACTGCGGGGTTGCTGAGCATCTGAATCAGCTCCTCAGGAGTGTGTGATGTTGCAGTTGGCTCCTCAGACTGGCCGGCTGCTGCCTCTAGTGTTGTCTGTGCTACTGGGACTGTCTCCTCCATGAGAAGGTCCATTGGCATGTCTCCTGCATGTGCAATCTTCTCAACCTCCTTAGCCAACTTCTCCACAGACTTCTTTGAAGCCTGAGACTTATTCATCTTCCTAACCTGCTTGGTCAGGTCTGCCATGAACTTTCCATGTGTATCAAGAGTCTCCAGGATCTTCTTCTGGTCGTCCCGAATCTTCTTCTGGTTGTCCAGAATCATCTTCAATGAGTCCTCCACTGATGAAGGCACCTGAAGCGCTGCTGGGGCTGAAGACTATGATGAAGAAACCTCGGGCTTCCTTGATCAAGCCATGCCTCCCACCATTGTATCACCCCCTCACCAATCATCCGGGACTTCATCATCATCATCTAGATTGATTGCAGCTGGCGCATCATGGAAGGGAGAGGGTTCAGAATCGTCACTACCCTCTTCCGAACCCTCAGATGAGGAGGACTCATCAACCAAATGCAATCTTCGCGGGAATTGTATGGGGATTTGTTGGGACTGGACATCCGGCAGTGCTTGCCCGGAGTTTCCTTCAGAAGCTTCCCCGGAGGGGACATACTCACTAGTATCAGAAATGTTTGGGGATCTATTGGTGGTTGTTTTCTTGCCTATTATCTTTTGAACTGACAGAGGTATGTTGGGTTTGCTTCGACCCCGGCCTCGGGAGGGTTCTGCACTCCTTTTGGAAGTATCACTTCGACCTCGGGAACGCACCATTATCTGCAACACAGTGAAAGTCAGTTAGAATTGGGGTTCAATATGTGTTAAAGCATTACAGATGAAATGAAGGATAGTGCTTCTCAGAATCGGGCATCGTGGAGCTCACAAAAGTGAGTGCGGCCGCGGATTGCCCCATCGCGGACCTCACAAAATTGAATGCAGCCGCAGAGAAACCAGGTTCAGACTACTGGCTCTCTGAAGTTACCAAACCACGGACCGCATAAAACTGAGTGGGTCACGAAAGACCCATTGCAGACCGCATAATTTTGGGTGCGGCCGCGAAAATAAATGATTGAGTCTCTAAAGTTCAAATGCACGGAGTGCACAAAATTGAGTGTGGCCGCGAAAGATCAATTGCGGACCGCAAAAAAGTCACCGCAGTCGCGAAATCTAAGCAAATGTCAGTGCCTTGGAACTAGGGTATCGCGGACCGTACAATTTTGTATGCGGCTGCATACCCTATCGCGGACCGCACAAAAATGTGTCGGCCATGAAATTCAAATCACATTGATACTGAGGTATGATTAATAAGAGGGTTTTCACTAATTAGGCATGATTTATGGCAATTAGACAATAAAAGCTACAAACCCCAACCCTATTATGCATTCAAACATTACCCATATGTTTCTAAGCAAGAATGAACCATTAATTTGATATTTTGGCATGAATCTAACCCTAGATAAAAAGAAAACTATAACAAAGAGAAGAGAAAAGAAAAAGATGAAATTAATTCATTAAAATGAACATACCAGTAGTGAAATGTAGCAAGAAATCACACTTGATGAAAATGGAATGAGAGTGAAAACAAGGAAGAGTGCATTGTGTCTAGCTTGAGAGATGAGAGTTTGTAAAGTGTGAATGGTATGAAAAAGTCCTATTTATACTTTTACCCAGGTGGCCCACCAACTTACCTGAGTGCGGCCGCACAATTTTCGTGTGGTTCGCCCTCTTTACCGTTTGTCACTCAGCAGAAGAATCCATGGCGCTATAACAACTAAATTTCACTCCTGAAAAATAATAATCAAGACAAGAAATATAGCGACAAATATTATATTCAATGTCAAGTGATAGAGTTATAATCTCTAAAATATCTCTAAACCTGAAGAGATGTAGTCCTCTGATTCTTCTCCTCACGGATGATGGTTCAAGAGCTTGAAAGCTTGATCTTGAACTTGACGGATTTCAGATTTGTAGTACGTCACGAACCAGGATTTGGTGTTGGGTTATCACGAATGGAAGATTTGAAGCCGTCCGCCTATGACTTGAGTTCGCCTTTGGAATTTGACCACAGACGACGATTGCAGATATGGATGGAGACCTTGATGCTATTCTTCAGAGCTTCTTTAGCCTTTCCTTCTGCTTATGTGCTTGTCCCTTGGCCTTCTCCTTTGACCCCTTTATATAGGCGTGGGGTGGAGTAGTCTCCAAGAAAACCCTAGTGGATCATTGGGCTTAAGGCTTATAGGCCGATCTATTTGATAGAAGACCAATTTGCGGGCTAGCCCAATAATATATTGGACTTTTATTTAAATTAATTCATTTTAGATTTAAATAATCGACCTGATTATACTAGCCCTTAGTATCATTTGGACTAATATGTATTTAATACATGATGAAATCCAAATTACTTGTGGATTTAAATTTAATAAAATTTTATTTATCTACAAATGCCCCCTGCTTCAAGACTTGTCGGGATGTAGGCTTGCCGAAATGAATGGGGAGGCTTGAAGTACCGGTGATGATGACAATATTTCCCCCATCATTTTGTAAGATACCGCATTGATAATTGTTTACGTGTTCTATTTCCGAAGAGTGAATTGACGTTATCAATGATTGGAATTGACAACTCTTTTACTTCATTCAAAGTGAGCCAAAACAACCCCTAATAGCAAGCTTGGCTCTTGTAGCTTAATTCCCCTTCTCCAGTGAGAAAATAAATTTGGTGGCCTTTCTTATGTAGTATCAACTTAATTAAAGAATAATTAAGTTCATATTGAACTAAGTCAAACACATCCAACCAGGACAAATTAAAATTTAAACCGCTGGATTTACAAGAAATATTTGGTTTATTCACTTGAATTCCGGTTCAAAAGATATGTTTTCCTTGGAACATTTACTCAAAGAAACTCTCACAACATAGTGCTCCTCTAATTTGGCTGCTACAATAATATATTTCCCTTACTTGTTATTTCTTCCTGTGAATTGGAGAGACTTCACATTGGCCAACATTAGTAGTACCACATAGTGATCTTTATTACCTAGATGGTGATCAATTAGCAGATTTTATGGCCGTTTTTTCACTAAGAGGTGAAGTAGGCAACATAGGCCTTGACAAGAGCATAACAGACGAGGCAACATATTGATCAACAACTCTCTGCGTAAGCTTCTTGGCTATATCTTCCCCAAGTTGCAAGTCCTCTTCTCTAATTCGCATTATTTGGCTATGAATATACGTACTCATCTTCTTTTCACTACACCTTTTCGAAGGAGATGAGCTCACTCTTTCTTGATGCGTCTCCATCTCACAGTTTCCAAACGAGTATATCATTGTGGTAATTATGGATTCAACTATATATTCAGGACAGAATAAGGATGAAGTTTTGAGGCAAGAAAAGTGATGATAAATAAAACAAAAGTATGCCGCTATATAGTTGTCATGTTACATTGGAAAGTATGCCGCTATATAGTTGTCCTATGGCATCAAACATGGAAAATTTTAAAGCTTTTCCCACTTTTCCGTAACAACAACTGGGCTGACAATAATTTTCCTTTTCTACTTTGATTTCCTAGTTTGAAACCTATTCATGTACAAACCGGACATGATATTTTGTTGGTTTTTTAAAAGATGGGGCAGCAAAAAGATTAAAAGTATTGATTGAAAATGTCTCTCAAATAATTTTATTAAGCATAACAAGGCTTTAAATAGCCAATCAGGAACATAATCTGCAGAAAAATCTACATAACAAGAATTCAAAAAAACCAAAATATCTCAACAAACCTAAAATATCTAACTGAAAGTTAAATTCAAAAAGTAGATTTATCCTAAAATTAAGCTAACTTATTATGCTAAAAAATGCAATAGTAACTGAAGCAAATCATCAACACTCCTCTTTTGCTTCAGTTGCTCTAAAACAATTGCTCCTCCTCAATTACTGCTTCTGCTGTTTGTGCTTGAGGATTCTGTTGAGTATCTTTGAACTTACACACTTTTGTAACATGGCCTGTTTGTTTGCAAATACCACATATTGCATCATGTCTCAACCAACAAAATTTTTCTAGGTGTGTTTTCTTTTTGCAGTATTTGCAAAGAGGATATTTGATCTTTTCTTTTTTGTTTTGTGCATAAAAAGCACCTTCACTAACCATTTCTTGTCTAAATGCTCTTCTTTGTTCTTGTGCTTGAAGAGCACTTATTAATTCTGCAACAGAGATGGTTGAGAGATCTTTAGACTCTTCTAGAGAGGAAAGTTTGGATTCAAATATCTCTGGAACCGTCACAAGAATTTTTTCAACTATTCTGTCATCTTTAAAATCCTTGCCAAGCAACCTGATTCTATTAACAATAGAAGAAATCCGATCAGAATACCTAGTGATAGTCTCGTCTTCTTGCATCCTAAGAGATTCAAAATCCCTTTTCAAATTTAAAATCTGCATTTGTCTAACTCGATCACTTCCTTGGTACTCCTTTTTAAGTTTTTCCCAAGCTTCTTTTGTGGTCTCACATTCAATGATTTTAGAAAAAATTGAATCTGCAACTGAATTTTGAATTACAGTTTTGGCTTTGTATTTTTTGGTTTTCTCTTCTGAATGGTTTTTAATTTGAGAAAGAGTAGGATTTGCAGGGAGTGGTTCTAATGGTCTATCTTCCATTACAACTTCCCATAAATCATAGGCTTCAAGATATGATTTCATTTTCACTGACCAAATCTGATAGTTTTTACCAGTGAAAGTTTGTGGGGCATTCAAAGAGAGACTGCTGCTTGCCATGTTTGAAAATAGGTTTAAAAATTGATATTGGTTAAAAATGATTTGAAAATTATTTTTTTGGAAGAACTCACAGATCCCGTAAGATCAATGAGGCTCTGATACCGCTGTTGGTTTTTTAAAATATGGGGCAGCAAAAAAATTAAAAGTATTGATTGAAAATGTCTGTCAAATAATTTTATTAAGCATAACAAGGCATTAAATAGCCAATCAGGAACATAATCTGCAGAAAATCTGCATAACAAAGTTACTTGCTGGTCAGCAAAGTTTCTCTCCTATGCAGGAAGGTGTCAACTTATAAAGGCAGATATCTTTGGAATACAGACATACTGGGCACAGGTATTCATCATCCCAAAGAAGGTTCTCAAATTGATAGAAGCCATATGCAGAACATTCCTATGGACAGGTAATGCAACTATCTCAAAGAAGGCATTAGTAGCTTGGGAAAATATATGTAAACCAGTGGCAGCTGGGGGACTCAATATAATAGACATCAAGGCATGGAACAAAGCAGCTATTACTAAGCACTTATGGGATCTAACCAGAAAGAAGGATTGTTTGTGGATTCGCTGGGTTCACAGCTACTATATAAAGAAGAGAGACCTGGACACAATGCCTATCCCTAAGGCAGGAGCCTGGGTAATTAGGAAGATAATTGATAGCAGGGAAGAGATTATGGGGCAACAGCAACTTCAAGGGACCTTGCACGATAGATTAAAGAGTCTATGCAAGAATGGAAAATATCAAATTAAACAGATGTACCTGAAGATGATACCAGACTATAGCAAAGTGGAATGGAAGGGCTTAATGTTGCACACAAGTATACATCCAAGATACAGATTCATCTTGTGGCTTGCAGTACAAAAGAGGGTGGCAACAGTTGATAGATTGCTGAAAATTGGTATCTAAGTACCAACAGACTGTTTTTTTTGCAAGAATGGATCAGAAACCTTCAACCATTTATTTTTCGAGTGTCCAATTACAAATAGGTTATGGGCTAAACTATGCCATTGGCTGGGACATAAAAGGAGCATAGGTGACTGGGAATGTGAGCTGGAATGGATAAACAAGAAAGCAAAGAGCAGAGCAGGTATCAATAGCATAACATGTTGTGTGTTTGCCATGACAGTTGCAATGATATGGAGAGAAAGGAACAAAGGTAGATTTGAGGATGGCAAGTATGATGAATACCAAATCTGCAAAGAAATAGTCCTGCATATTCATATTCGAGGGCAGAATAACAAGAAATGGAGAGAACTGATGCAGCAATTGAACTGGATTCCATGAAAAACACATGTATAGATAGGAATGAATGTATTGAAGTGACACTAGTGTCTGTATTGGTAGATATAGTTGCTTGACACTTTGATATCAAAGGCATAGAATACTTATGTAAAGTAGTAGTAAGTCAAACTACTACTAGGAACAAATTGTAACATTTTTTGAGTATCAATGAAACATAATTTTAACTCGAAAAAAATTCTGCATAACAAGAATTCAAAAAAACTAAAATTATTCAACAAACCTAAAAAATCTAACTGAAATTTAAATTCAAAAACGTAGATTTATCCTAACATTAAGCTAACTTATTATGCTAAAAAAATGCAATAGTAACTGAAGCAAATCATCAATATATTTCCTTATTTGCACATGTCAGTAGCTTGAACACCAAGAATTTCCTTAATTTCTTCCTTGTTGGTTCCTATAAATTGGCCACTTTCTCCTTGTATCATTGCCATAGCAGTAGTCCTCCGCTCTTTGATGAAAGCAACGGTACTACCTTTTGGTTGGTTTTGATGGTACTCTTCAATAATTGGCAACGCAATCCCGTCGCTCGATTCTCCTAACGTTTTTTTTCCGCAGCTGCTGCCAAGAATCTCAGCTTTGCGCGTCTTAACCAAAAAAATCGTATCTTGGTGTAGTGATGCCAAAATCACGAGCGGTTTGCGGCTGCAGAAACTAGACTCGGTGTACTACAACATATCTAAAATTTGGATTTAAATTCGTATTGTATCATCCTAGGTAAGCTTCCTAATCTTGGTTCAAGTTCTGTCACGCTCGACATTTCAGCTTTGCGCGTCATAACCAAAAAAATCATATCTTGGTATAGGAGAATCGAAATCACGAGCGGTTTACGGCTACAGAAACTAGACTTCTGGAGCTACAACATAGGTAAATATCATAATCAGAATATGCTACTATCTTCCCAGATATTTTTTCGAATTTAAGCAATATATTGTGACATGTTGCCCCTTTCAGTCTTGCCGATTTTCAGAGATTCTTCCCTTTTCTTTTTGTCCTTTTGCAGACTCTCGGAGTAGCACATCGGACTGTGAATTCCATCAGCAAGGATGCAATTTACCAACCACGATACACCATATCCTCACCTTGAGATTACTAGCGACAAGCAGAATCCGCGCGCCCGAGTTCTCGCTTTAAAAGTTCATCCTCCGGAGATAGGTGTTTTCGCGCTCGCTAGGAAGCCGCTTGACGCCTCCCTTGATCTTGCAGAATGGTCGACCAGAGAGATGAAGGATGCATTAGACAGATTTTCGGGCAAAGCAACCAACATGAAGGTCCTACTTTTGAAGTCCTCCACCCATCAGAAGGTCGCGTCTGCTAATCCTCCTCATCGTGATCACGATGGACGTCTCGCCACTTGGAGTGTTCCTCCTTCCGGCTTTGGTGAAGTTCGCTATACATCCAAATATTGGGAGTGGGTAGAAGATGTTCTTGCCCGCAACAAGTTGACTCTGGATGGCATCAAGGTCTATGACGCCATCTTTGCTTCGTTGTTCACATATGACTACAATGAGAATATCCTCCGTGCCTTTTGTGAGCTTTGGGGTCCATCTGCCAACACAATTTCTACCTCTATTGGTGAACTCTCCATCTCTTTGTGGGACTTGCGAGCAATCGGAGGCCTTCCGGTGCATGGGTCCTTCTATGACGAAGTTATCCCCTCGGCTAAGGAGTTGACACAAGCGGACAATCAAGGAAAACCTTTCCTCCCAAGAAGTTGTCTGCACCTGTTCTCGGCATTCTACAAACTCATGAAGGATGATGTTCACGAGCTCTCCATTCGTGATTGGGTGGAGTTTTGGTTTCGAGGTCCGAGTAGGTATGCCAAGCCTCCACAAAGGTCATCAAGGAATCGGACTACAAGGCCGAAGTTGAATCATAATCCTTCTGGGAATATTGACACGAGCTTCCTACCACGAATCGATGAGGAGAATGCCCCCTTTATTGAGCTTGGCATGGAGGAGTCACTTAGAGTTGAGACTTATTTGGCGACTTTCCTTGCATGTTGGCTTTGCAAATTTGTGTTCCCTAACAAGAAGATCGACTACATTCGTGTTAGTGTCTTCAAAATCGCGATTTGATGGCTCATGGAGAGAAGTTTTCCTTGGCGGTTCCGTCCTTGCAAGTATTTATCATGGCTTGAAGAAGGTCTCCACTTCTCAAGGTTTGGGCGCCTGCAAAGCACTCTTTCCTATTCATTATGTATATGGATGGATAGGAGCATATTTTGACACCTACTATCGTGTTAAGCGTCCACAACGAGGTCCGCAGATGTGCAAGGTTTATGGGGAGAAGATGGCCAAGCATATTGACCTTAGTAATGCCCGTGATTTGTTTCAACAAGTTAGTGCGCGACAACTTCACCATTTGGCTATGCTACAAGGGAGGGAATTGCATCTTACCGATCGTGACGAATAATCGAATTCTTGGAGTGACTTTTTTATAAGTCTTCGCTCAAGCTTCATCACCCTTAGGCATGATGACATTCATATTGTGGAATCTTATAGCCCGCATAGGTTTAGTCGTCAATTCGGCCTTTGTCAAGATGTTCCTGGCAAACTCATAGAGCGACCCTATGACGGCTCACTGAAAATGCTAGTGCAATTCTGGGATTCTTGTGTTCGTCTTGGAGGTTCGTCAAAGGTTATTGTCCCTACGCGTCCATCAGAAGAAGGCCCTCTAATGACTCGTGAGTATGCAGATTGGTGGTCAGCTCGTCGAGTGCACTCTTCCCGACAAAGTACTCATGTCATTTTGAAAGTTCCAAGGAAAGATGATATTCCTTTATCCTCCAAAAATGATCAACGTCAAAAGGACACTCACGAAGGGTCTTCCAAGTCCAAGTTAAGATCTAAAGATCCTTCCCCAAGCACCAAGGTCTTATCCAAGTCTACCCTTTCGACAAGCGGGGATGCCCATGTGGACAAAGGAGCTAAATATGTTTTGTTGACTTCCGAGACAACTACTGCCACTGTGGAGGTGACGAGCAATCCTTGCTAAAGGAAAGCGCCTCCTACTTCACCAAACAAAAATGTTGCGAAGACAACCAACATCGTGCCAACAAACGAGTAAAGGACTCAAGCTTCTGTTCTGCCTAATGAGATTGTGAATCTTAGTGTAACTTCCAGTTCGAACGAGAGTGATGTTAGTCACGACATACATTGGAATCGTTCAAAGAAGAAGGCTAAGGACACGAGCCATAGTGAGTTTGCTGACTTGGATGCTGTTAGTATCGATACTGGATTTTTCGTAGAGGGTGACCCTGGCTCAACGATGCTATTGTCTGAACTGGAGAAACGAGTAAATATTATTTCTTTCAAATTTACTCCCTTTTTTTTGAACACTAAAGTTTTTTTTTCAGTTGGGCTTCATGAGTTGTATGATGATGTACTTGGTGACGACATGGTGGAAGACTGTGTTACAAGCCCAAATTCCCTCGGTGTGGCCGCCAAAAGTCCTCACGCTTCATTTGATGGTGTTGAACATCATGCTGCAAACAGTGCTCCGTCGACAGATTTGAGTCTACCAAAAGAGTCGCACCTCGTTCTTCCAGAAGATGTTGTGCTTTCCAAGCCAGCCATGACGAGTAAGATGGAGGTTGCCGCAAGTCAAGCAAAACGTCTAATAGCCTTCAAGCCTACTCCATGGCCGTTGCATCTTGATGCTCCAAACTTCAAACCACAAGAGACTATTTTCCGTAT